ATATTATGTTAAACATCCTCGAAATACTATTTCAAATGCTGCAATTTCTCGACTTCACGAGATAGCATTCCTCTTCCTGGGTCTTGCCCAAATGTGTTTCTATACAATGCTGTATTTTTAGTTAATGGCAATATCCCCACAAATTTCGAACCACCGCAACTTTGTTTCCCACCTTTTGCTTATTATCAACAGCTTAATTTTCCACCGCCTGCTCTTCCTTTTTTATAAGAAGCAATGAGCGGAACCTACATCTGAGGAATACGCTCAGTATTATCCCTCTCAACGCAAGATAATTTGTGCAAAGATGTCAAAACCCAGAAGTGTGGCCTTTGAGTTTTGCCCGGATGTATCGTGCATTACAGAATCTTGGGCTCACTCTCTAATTTCAGACTCGGCACTCAATATAGATAACCTGAGTTTATACCGCCAGGATCGTGTCGAAAGACGTGGCGGTGGTTACCTTCTTTACATCAGAGCCTCACTTGCACATTCGCCTTATGACCTGAAAATTTCCTCCTTCTCCGGAAATTTATGTTTCGCTTCGGCAGTCCTTCCGCAAAATAGGTAAACCTTGGTCGGATGTGTATATAATCCTCCTTGGTACTCCGAAAATAAAAGCCAACTCTGTGAACCCTTTGAAAAAAATGTACAGACTTCTATCGATGTCAAGATAGTCGTAGGAGACTTTAATTTGCCAGAAGTTGACTGGCACATACATACTCCCTCTCCTAAATTCCAGAAGTTTCTGGATACTATTTACTTTTCAGATTTGTCTCAATTAGTCCACTCTTCGACAAGAAACGATAGTGTATTAGATTTGGTTTTTACTAACGGCATCGTCCCTCTACCTATGGATTTCCATCGTGACCTTTTTGCATGTTATCATGCATTAGTTTATTATTGTTTTCCAGTTGCCATTTCCGCAAACCCAACAGTAAAACGTAGCTTTTTTGACTATGCTAATGCTCGCAAGGAATTATTAAAACCCACACAAGCATTCTCGATTGACGCAATATTTTCCCGAATACTGATTCAAATTTTTCTACGATTTATTATAATGCGCAACAGAAGGTCTTCTCGACCTAATTCCACGGAAGACATTTAAATCGATTACCACTTACACCGCTGTCCCACATTTTCTTAAGAACGGACTTAGAAAGTTACGGAAGCAGCTTAAAGAATCTTCTGTGAGCTCATTGTCGGTTCACTTAAGAAGTGCTGAAATATTTGAACTAGTTAAGATAGTGGGGCTCGCGTGAGGTAAGCATAAAAAGCCTTTAGCTACTAGTGGTGCGAATGCTTTTGGATCTGTTGCTCAGGTCTTCCGTCACATATCATCTGATAAGTCCCACCAAGTCATTTCGCCTTTGCAAAAAAACCAACGATACCTTCATTACAGAGGAGTCAGACAGAGCAGAAATGTTAAATTTATTCTTTGCTAAGCATTCCACCGTTGAAACTGACCCAATCCCTCTAATTCCTCCATTGGCTGATGCCTCTATCAGCTTCATTACTTTTTCTCCTTAAACTATTCAAAAGCTGATAAACCATCTTCGTAACTCCCAATCAGTAGGTACGGACAATATCCCAAGCTCTCCCATAAAACAGCTAAGAGATTTTCCTCCTTTGGTCAGCAAACTCTTCTCAGTCTTCCTTTTAAATAGTTCCTTTCCTGACTATTGGAAAACTTTTAGTATTATTCCAGTATTTAAGTCTGGCTGTCGTTCTAATTTTCAAAAGTATCGATGTGGTCATAAAACACCTTCCAATCGCCACGAAAATTCTCGTCTTTCGTACAGTCACTCAAGTTACTAGCGCTTCCCATCATGGTTTTAACCCTATCGTTATTGTGAAACATGTCCTGTGTCGTCGCTCAATCCACTTACTTCTATTCTCCATAACCATTTTTCTGTTGTCGTTATTAATTTTGATCTTAGAAAAGCGTTTATAAAGTGCCACATAGAAGACCCTTAGTTAAATAAGAAGCCCTGGAACTTCTCAGTCCCCCTATAGGCTTTATCAAGTCATACCTGTCCAAAAGGTTTTAATGGGATCTTCATTTTCTAGAGATCGCTATTGTAAGTGGTGTCCCACTAGGTACCGTTTTGGGTCCTCTTTAGTTCCCGCTTTACATAAATGATGTTTTGTCGGCAGTTAAACATTCTCAATCCTTTATTTATGCCGATGACCCCAAATACGTATATCCATTCACTAAATCCACGAGCCAATATTGTCTGGATCAAATCCATGCTGACTTGCCTGCTCTCTCAGCGTGGAGCTCAAAATGGTTAAAGGAATTCTCTCCGTCTAAATGTCTCTATATGTGTTTTGGACCTGATAGGCTGCCCCATCCAGTGGTCTTTTAAGGCACACCTATGACTGAATGTGCCACCACCAAGGGCTCAAGCTACTCCAATAATTTCGATCTCTCGCCACGCGCCGACAGAATTGCGGCCAAGGCTGTCCAGATTTTCGGCTTTGTTTGCCACAGTTTCTGCCTTCCTGAATTAAATTAAGACTCTATCGAATGTTTGTACTTCCCATTCCCGAGTATTGTTGTCCATTCTTTGGTTTGATGAACGAGGTTATTTGTTAAAAATTGAAAATGTTCATATGTACTAGGGGCTCTTAGGTACGGAAAACCTAGATATTTCCTACTCGTATAGATGACAGATAACTAACTTAAAATTTTTATGAGTTCGAAGACTATAAGCAGGCTTCTGTCTCCTCTTTCGCATTAATAATAGCTCAAATCTTCCTCGCATTTCAGCCCTTTCCCCTAGTAGTCGTCCACACAATCTTCGTAATTCTCCCTTGATTATATCTCCTCTGGCCTCCTCCACCTCTAAGCGCTCTCTTTTTTGGCTTCCATGTATAACTTTCTCTGGAGTTACCTTCCAATAGATATTATATCACCAGATAATCTACATACTTATAAGGGAAGGCTTCCCCTTTATCTGAATACCGACTCGACTAAACTTTTATTTTCCTCATCCTTCCTGGACAACTTTCTCTACGACACTGAGAAAGTACCATCGGGAATTTATGATGCCGCTACCAAATTACCGCATCCGCTCACATTTCCTCCGTGTGTGGTTTCGTAGAAATTCCAGTTTTTTTTGGTTCTTTAGTCCATGCATCGTGTCCGTCACAGGACGTGATGTACTTCATGGCAAATTCTTTCAAAGAAGTAGCAGGGTCAGTTTGACGTGCATGCTCTAAACCGCCTCTGTTTCGCCAATCGCCGATCCGCATCAGGAATCCACTCCGGCCCCTGAGGTTTCGAACTCTGATCCCCAGTCAATGCTTTTCGAGGTTCTTGATGCCATCTCCTCATCTCAACCCCAAGTGGTCTGCTGACGATCATGGCGGAATCCTCTGTTCTCGCCATTTGCTAGGAGTTTTGTCAGTCAGCAAAGATGTCTCAGGGTCACATTTTCTTCTCGACGTTTCGATGACCGCCCGAACCTCTAATGTCCCCTCCTCGACCAGACTCCTATCGAACTGTACCTGATCGCGTCTAGGTTCCTCTTTTTTCGCCACTTCGAGGCGGATAGCATCATCCGGTTTGGAAATTCTGCCTTGACGATGTCTGTTTACAACTCCTTATATACTACCATATGCAGACCAGCCCTGTATGACCCGCCTTTTTACCCTTTCATAAGCGACAGTTTTTTCGCCTTAAAAGCTAACCAATTCATATTCTTTTTGTCTTTTTCAATATAAGGAGTTTTTCATTATTCGCTGACCGTTTTTAGAATCTGACTGATTATTCTATAACCGTGGACTGAATACTATACAGAATCTGTCTACGTATTCTAAAATTTACATAAAAAGTGACTTTGCTTGCTATGAAAGTACCATCAAGGGTACTCAACAAAACTATTTATTTATAGCATGTAGTGATTACGGTTCGCGTTGTTTAATGCAACCCCAATAAAAATTTCCTACTAAAGTGTACTTTACTGGAAAAATGAAGGGCACCGTCCTAGGTAGTAGCCCTGTTAACGCATGTTCCTGTCCTAAGGTCTGGTCTATTTTGAGATAAATGAAGCCATGGACCATTCCCGGGGGACATTCCTCTATTATTTTTAGCGCAACAGATTATTAAGACCACATCTCCAACAGTAGCTTTAGTGTGGGTGTTTTGCTTGCATAAGTCAATCTACAAAAGCATAAAGACGAACAAACTACTTCTCAATACTTGTTTTGGGGAGACTTGGATAGACTGGGTCACCTGTTGAGGTTCCGACCATTGGCCGAGAATTCGGACTGGGATAGACGAGGCAAGCGATTATTTTCACATTAGTATCATTGCAATTCGCTTACCCACGCTATATATTCTTCATAATCTTACAGTATTAGCAATCCGTTTGGCTGAAAATGAGTGGGGAGGGACATCTCGTACTGGCTTATGGTAGTATATTAGTATGCTATGGTCTCCTCATTCCCAGTTTAGACCAATTCTTAGGATGAGGACATGTGCTACCAGGGAGGTGAAAACATAGACCAATAAAAGATTACTTAAGGTGAGACGGATCCAAAAATGAGTTCGGGTGTGAAGTCTGCGAAAGCTGGTGTTCATATTTTCAAGACCACGGGTCGGCAATGAAGATCTGGCTTTATATCCCCTTATAACCCCCACCCGCATAAGTCACATTTTTAAGTATGTTCTGAACTCTCCTTCTTGACCGGCCTCATTTTAGCCCTACAGGCGGTTATAAAATATGCGACCAAATATCAAGGAGGTTGAAGGCCTGTTCTAACCTAGGTAAGTTTTTCGAGGCCTCAACACTTTACAGAGTGGAAGACTCCAGGGAGAATTCATTCAAATGATTTTTATGGACGTCCCATGGTATTCCCTGTAGAATACAGACACGCTCCAGGAACACTATTCCCTCAGTTTGCCTTTCACCTTGTTTTGTTTAAATCCACTCGAACGATCACTGTCCCGGGAAAGTGAGGTTGCAGCCTCTTTTTGCTATAGCCCGCTCATTGTGATGTCATATGAAGTTGTCCAAGGCGAGCAAAGTTTAGAGAATAAGGTAAACCACAAGAATTTTATCCTAAATTTGGCGTTTAAAACGCTGCCCCTCTGTCTTCTTTCAATCTTTTTGTCGGACCGTTATCTCTTTCCTAAAGCTTCAGGACAGGATTCAGTTCCGACTATAATGTTCAACAAATTGTTCCGAAACCCCTTCCAGGGAGGTCTCTTAGTCTAGTAAGCACTACGTAATATTTGGCTTTCGGCCCATCGGCAGTAATTCAGTTCATGATTTACCGTCGTTTAGTGTTCGTTACCTTTGGGTGCGTTGCCTGACGCGTGGACTGCCGGAGCGAATAACGTATAGACCGGCATGTAATATGCCGTTCTAGGACCCTTATCCTTTATTTCGCCCTGATCGTCCCCGTCAAACCGAAGGGCAGATAGAGGGGAGCGGTATTTGCTGTCATAAGTTAACTTGTCGGCTACGATTTCAGCTATCACTATCTCTTCAAATGACTAAGTTTCCGCTTACATCCGTTCCGGTCTCTCAGGTGTCTTCCTCCTATCCCATGACGACCTGCTTTCTTGGGGTCTTTCACGTGGCCATGGGGAGCAATAGTCAATGGCCACCGGTGTGCCATCTCGGTATTTTAATCTCACTTAAGGTAAACGCACATTGCTGTAAAATGAGCGTCACGAGTTAATAGTGGCGTGGCAAATACGCACGCAGTGTGCGAAAACTCCGTCGAATAGGTAAATGTTCCTTATACCACCGGGCGCCAATCTCATCAACTCAAAACTTCTGTCACTGTCAGATCCAAGCCTTAAATAATCAGCATACTCTAGGTGAACGTCTACCCAGCGGTCTTAGCATGTCCGCTTGAATTGCTGCCCTTGCGTATGTAAGCCCATTATCCTGACGTCCAGTTTCCGTGGCACGGGTATAATCATCTGAATTCAACCAGTACCTTTTATTGCTAACTACATTTTCCTGAATGCTCGTTTCTGGGAAAGGCATGTTTGTTGGGATCTTGCATTGTTTGGGAGAGCCAGTGGATCGGTGCGCGCCTATATAAATACCCGATCTACAAGAACAGTAAATGCCAGGTGATGGGGCACTTATGAGCCTCGGTTTAATGAAGTGCTTATGACACCTAGTGGACCCCGTCTGTAGGCCGCCTGCTCTCTGTGCATGCACTTGCTTGTGTTTTTGGTTCCAGATGGTGGCCAATTGAAGATGGAGTAAGCTCAAAGCAGTTTTGTGTCAATCTGCTCACATTCTCTATTGTCTTCCATCTGATATACGCGCAAATACATTGGAATAGCCGCTCCTGGCTTATTGGCATCATCAGCCAGTCTCCTTTGTCTCTGTCGATGTTCCGCTCGGCCAACTCAGTCAGTATGTGACTGTCATCATGTGTTACTGAAAAATGAGCATCTCAAGAAATTTACCTAGAAGGTACAGAGAAGGACCAGCGCAAAGTCAAGGTAGACTGGAATCGCCACTTTTGGCTCATTAGTCGTCATCAGCCAGCCATACCTAACCCCAAGTTTGCAACCTCGGAGACTGACTCGTTTTCTGCTTGGTAGTCCACCGCTCTAACTGCTGAGCCGCTGGCTCGTGCTGTCGGTTGTGATTAGGTATATTAACTGGTAGACGGCGCCCACCAATCTTGTAGAGGAACCTACTCGTTTCGCGCTTTGAGGTGCAAACTAGAACCCCCTCAAACGGTAGCATAGCGACTAATGGCGTAGGTAGGTAATCATAATTAGTATTCCCTGCCACAACCGACAGCACAACAGGCCCTTGGCTGAGTGGTAGTATTGCACTCAATGACAAGATCCCGGTTTGGACCTCACGTGATCCGCACCTAGGATTGGGTATGACTGGGTGATGACGGCTAATAAGTCAGAAATAGCCATTCCGGTCTCCCTTGTCTTTATCGGTACCACCTCACCTATCTCCACCACTAGTCGCTGTGGCTGCCTGCGAGGGTTGTAGTTATGAGCCCCAAGTTAACGGGACGATCGTGCTCCGTAAACGATAAGGGGGCGCCAATCTGTCACATATGCGCAGTGCAGGTACTATATGGTCCGTGGGCTCGCCATCTCTTCGTATTCCGAGGAATTATGGACCACATATATCGCCTCCCAAATTCATGAGGAGGCTTGGAAGTTTTCCTACCGGTCCCGTGTTAGACCGTGCGTTGTGTACGGCTGTGCCAACATGCGGAAGCAGCTTCAGGAGCTCTCCTACGGCTGTAACTTACTCGTAGCCATATATATATATACATATAAATATGATGGTAGGGGGCGCTCACCAACAGGTCGCGAGTTCGAGGCTCGGGTGTTCCACACTTCGGGCTTGGGTATGGCTGGCTGACGACGGCTAATAAACCAGAAATGGGCCTACAGAGATTCCACGTTCGTTTGATCTAACGTCTGCAATTAGTTATTTTACCTTGTCTGTGCGAGGAACAGAGTCTTTATATGTTTAGATTGCTTAACGAAGGTTTACGTATTTAAACAAGGTGCGCTAATTAATGTACGATATGCCATTTCTTACGCCCGCTACTTACCTTTTAGTTCTCTAACTTTCAACTCACAGATGAAGCGCCTCGTAGCGAACCTGAGCGCAAATATATTCCGCCACATATGCGCCAAGGCACCTATATACCTGAACCGGATGTATCTTACGAGCGTGGTTCCGCTCATACTTTCGGCAGTCGTGGTGGATCCTACCAAGACGGCTTTCGAGGACGAGGGAGAGGTGGTGGCGGATTTGGAAATAGATCGGATTTCTCCCGCCAAGGTGGATTCCAAAACAGCAGATGGCAAGAACCAAGTGACAGGTACGCGAGATTTTTCCACTAATTATTTAGTTTCCGTGGCGGCCGTTATAGTGCTGGAGGTGCTTTCCCAAGTGTTCGCCGCGGACCGGACGAGTCATCCGCTGTAGACTGGAGTGTCCAAACTCCGAGAAATGAGCGCTTAGAAAAAGAACTGTTTCACAAGGCCAACACGGGCATCAATTTTGACCAGTATGACAACATCCCAGTCAGCATGACGGGACCTGACGTTGATAACATTGTCCCGATAAGCACTTACGGGGATCTGTCCTTAAGTCCTATAATGCGAGACAATATCGCCTGCGCCCAGTATTCCCGCCCTACTCCTGTACAGAAAAATGCTATCCCCATTGTCATGGCTGGTCGTGATTTAATGGCTTGTGCGCAAACCGGTTCGGGGAAGACAGCCGCCTTCCTCATCCCCATCTTGAACAGCATGTACTTGAACGGCCCTGGAAACTCAATTACTGCATCGGTAAGAAGCACGATATTGCTATATTTGTTCCTAAGTACGAAACAAACAGACGAAAGCAATTTCCAGTTGCGCTCATACTCGCTCCTACAAGAGAACTGGCCTCCCAAATTCATGAGGAGGCTCGGAAGTTTTCCTACCGATCCCGTGTTAGACCGTGCGTTGTGTACGGCGGTGCCGACATGCGGAAGCAGCTTCAGGAGCTCTCCTACGGCTGTAACTTACTCGTAGCCACTCCTGGTCGCTTGCTTGATGTTATGGATCGGGGCCGCATTGGCCTAAACCACATAAGGTAGGCATTTGTACCTTTTTGGTTTACCGACTCTAGGTTTCTGGTGTTAGACGAAGCAGACAGGATGTTAGACATGGGCTTTGAACCGCAAATCCGGAAAATTGTAGAGGGTGACGCAATGCCGCCATGTGGCTCTCGACAAACGCTGATGTTCTCCGCCACTTTTCCAAAGCAGATTCAGGTAATGTCCGAATGACTTCATTCTCCTCCAGGTGCTCGCCCAAGATTTCCTGAGTGACTATGTGTTCCTCACCGTCGGTAGAGTTGGAAGCACCAGCGAAAACATTACACAGCAACTTCTTTGGGTTGCAGAGCACCAGAAGCGGGGTGCATTGGTCGATCTTCTTGCTGAGTCAGGTATTTTGTTGCTTTGTTTAATTTCCCAGAGCCCGGAGACAGAACGCTGATCTTTGTGGAAACCAAGCGTGGAGCGGATGCTCTCGAAGAGTATTTATATCAGGAAAAGTATTCTGTAGCCAGCATCCACGGAGACCGGACCCAGGAAGACAGAGAACTTGCTCTAAACTACTTCCGCGTCGGTGTTACCCCCATTCTGGTGGCCACAGCAGTAGCTGCTCGGGGTTTGGATATACCAAATGTGAAGGTATCACAGAAAAACAATATAACCTGTCCTCCCTAAGCACGTTATCAACTACGACTTGCCCAGCGACATTGAAGAATATATCCATCGCATCGGTCGGACTGGACGCGTGGGAAATCTCGGCAAGGCTACGTCATTCTTTAACGAGAAGAACCGGAACCTCGCTGAGGATCTAATCGAACGTCTTGAGGAGGTTAACCAAGTTATTCCATCCTGGCTGAGGTCTATAGTTGACGAGCCAAATCGCATGCAATCATCTGGCGGTCGAGGCCGATCACGCAGGTAAGTGCACAGACGTGGTGCCCTTTGAATCTATTCTAACCGGCATGCGTTTCGCATACGAGTTTCAATTCCACCCATCTGTTACTCACGGAATAAGGTTTCCGCAGGTAACGCTTGGAATGCTTTGTTTTTCCAGTAAAGTTGGAGACTGGAAGGGTGAGTTGGCTCACTCGCTGTCGTCACTTAGCAATGCCCCGTCCCCAAACCAATACATGTGGTCTATGAAATCCCAGGCTGGACCCATTGCCGGCGAAAGGCAGTTAGTGGTCGCGAGGTGTTGGCGACGCAGGAAAAGTGACTAGAATAACCATTTCTCGTTTGTTCTTCACAGGCAGCCGACCGATCACCCTCTGTTATGAAACCATCTGTAAAGTCTAAGCAGGTGCGTCGTGCCAGACAACATCCCTTGACCGACAAATGTCACTTCCGTGTGCTTGGAATCAGTTGGCCGCAGTCGGTATTAAAAAATCTCGCTGGACGAAATGTCCCGGGCCGTCCTCGGACATTGTGCAGCTGTGTTAAGCTGCGGATGGGAAATGTCTTGTCCTGGAAGTTTAATTTGTTGGACTATTTCAAATGTAAGGTTCAGTTTAGTTCCTCAATTCTCTGAGCGTGGCAAGGCTTGTCGGACAGGCGCTCCGAGCTTACTGCATTCCTGTAGCTCAGAACCTTTGTCAACTACGATGCCTAGTCAGATTTGCGTGTACTCTTCTTTGGGACTGCCCGTAGTTCACATGGGATCACGCATCTATATTTATTTTTGTGTTGCGGCGGGCAGTTCTCCAGTCAGTTATTAAGACAGTTACCTTTCCTGGTGCAGACTGCGTCATCGCACGGTCTGGTTGTGCTCACCTCATTAAAGTGTAGCCGGTCTCTCGGCCGTTCTCTACTTGTTGAGTTTTTGTCTTGTTTCTGGCGTTTCGCTTAAATGGCAGTTATAGTAACCATTCAAATGCGGTTGCTTTTATTGGTTAGTCCCTGCAACTCATCCACGGATAAATTCCGACAACCTAACTACAAGCGCACTAGACAGATTGACAATCTATCTCCTACCCAGTAACTGCGCTGATGTGCCAACCAACGGCCTCAGTACTTTAGTGAGGGCACCAGGCAATCGGTTAAGTAATAAGCAAGCAGCAGCAGTAGTAGGCCGGTCTGGTGCGTTCCGAGTCATGCCTTGGTTCCGTCTATATCTTTACCATCTCAACCCTCTTCCTTTTCTCGCGGGATCAGGGGCGGAAGTGGATTCGGCGGCCGAGACTACAGACAGCAGCCTACGCGCGGAGGTGGGGGCGGAGCCTTCGCACCCGGCCCTGGCCGCATTAACAGCATGGGTGGACACGGCATGATGTCCTATGGCGGAGGCAACTACGCCGGCGGTGGTGGCAGCAGCAGACCCAGAGGCGATCGCACGGATTGGTGGTCAAACGAACAGAGTTGATTTTTTTACTGATTTAACGCTAGGCTATATTTTGGCGTTCTGCCGGTTACTTCGCATTTACCGTTGCAGTTCTGCTTGGCGAGTTTTTTAAACATCCGTTTTCCCAGACAGTAATAAAATGTCGAAAATGGCTTTTAATGAATTTATTACTCCCAGTCTGGGGCTTAACGTGCAGTACATTAATTCATGGGGGATACTGGGCCACAAACCGAGATACATCGAACTTCCTTTTGCATCCCGCGTAGTTCATGTAGCGTATCTTGCCGAAGATGGTCCGTTCGCTCCAGCCCTGGTCGTGGATCCCGCAAATGGACCACATGACTCCTAGAAAAAAAACGAGTCAATGTCAATATTGGCCTGCAAACTGCGAGGACGATAAACGCATTGGGCCCGGATTCCTTCTGTACCAGTGTCCGATGTAAAACTTAAAGGCATCGGGTCACTGTCAGTTGCCTGCCGTAAAGCATCACCTGGTGGCCCTATTTTAGGGCGCGGTGGGCTCCAGCTGAGCTTCGCTCTAAGGAAGCCCAGCAATTTCTGGCAAAAGCAACCTGTCAGGGGTTGTGGCCATGCAATCTCGCTCGGCCGCTCTGTCCTGCGCCAGCTTGGTCCCCGACCTAAAGGGCGAGCTGAGTGGCGTAGTATCTGGCCTTTCGTCGACGACTCCCTAGTTGCACTCGAAATGGGATAGACAATTAGCGCTCACCGACAAAGCCGTTGGGATCGGAACCGTCGATGCTGTAGCGGTCGTTTAGACGCAGACCCAGGGCGAGGGCAGCCTCGGGTCCCGCAGCGTGCCATTCGAGTATCTTCTTCGCCCAATACATGCGCAGGAAACCGTGGATTTTCCCATCCCTCAGCAACTGCCGTTGAGCCGCGTTCCACAGCTGGTCATCTGTTCGGGCCTTCTCCATCGCCTCCTCGTCGTAAGCCGGCTTGCGTTCGTCAGATGCATGCTTGCGTAGGGTCTCCTGCGCCCACGACCACGCACCTAAAGCAATACAAACAGTATTAGGGCTAGTAAGTCGCGAGTGGTGCCCATTCGAAACGACAATCTAAAAGGGCCCGCGAGTCGCTGGGCGGGGTGTTGCGTTTCTCATCCAGGTGAGATAGTTCTTGATCACGTCGTCTCTGGGGCATCCTGAGCGCGCGCGGAGTCTGGCGTGCGCCCCTGATAACAGTTTTCTGAGGACGACAGCTTGTGGCGGCCGAAGGCACTGAGGTAAACAGCCGCGTTCGCACCCCAGTCCGCAACAGGGGACAGAGACTCAGGCACCACACCGAACGCACATATGGAGAAGTTACGAGAACAGATAGTCTACGTGGATGAGAACTATGCCATGACAACGAGCGTATAACTATCTAGTAGAGGTTGAGTATGAGACGTGGGGGGATGCTACATGTGCCGTAGTCCCGTCTAGAGCGAGGGCGTTCCGTCCTGTCTATTAGATTATCAGTGAGGAGTGCAGCGCTGAAGCCAACTGGGGGGGGGGGGGGTGAGGGTACTGGTACTGAGGGAAAGAAAACGAAACAACCTGACATGACAATAGCTGCGGAGACGAGAGTCCGCAATTCAGAATGAGAGGGACACCGGCATCACTTGACAGTCCGTCGCATCGTCCCCATCGCGGGTCCGCGCCTAAGTGAGGTCGGTCACTTCACCCAAACAACACAGTCAGTCTCCCGTTCTGTAACAAACTGCTCCGGGACATTGTGAGTGTTAGGGTGTTCCCGTATGGCAAGACGAAGAGAAATGCTAAGAACACACGCCCGATAGAAGGCCGTGCCCCCGTGTTTGGACCACCGTGCTTCCAACCTTGAATTCTGGTCAGACACAGGGTTGATGTATTTTAGACCTGAACTCCGGTGGAGGCTAGCTGAGCAACCAGAAGCAGCAGGGGAACTGTATCATCTATCAGGTTTTTTCACAGGGTCGGCCAGTGGTGGCCAGGATAATTCCCAACCGAAGGCCTGCGCTTCATGGCGTACGCACTACCCCACTTGACTCTTCCAGTCGCGCCCTACCTAGAGAGTATTTAGGTCGACGAAAAGACAGTCGTAGCACGAGTCCTCTGCGAGGCGTGGCCGCCGCATTCTGCTCGTCTGAGAAGCTGCGCAAAAGAATGTACTGATGACGGGGTCGTGTGCAATGGGAGAAATCAGCAAACGAATGGAACTACAGTGGTCTCCGTTGGCTTATCCGCCTTCACCAATAGGCTATGCTCCTAACCGGCAGGGCATGATTAAAACCTAGACAGTCGAGGGTGTTGAGTCGCACGTGCGAGCGGTCCTTCACCGGTCGGACGCGCATGTCTCCTTTTTGCTTTAGAGGCCTGATCTGGTTTCCCAGCAGGGGGTCGCATTTTCACAGCTGGTTGATGATGGGGTGAATACCGACAAGGACGGGGAAAGCCGGGGCGGTGCTTTCTGGCTTCGGCTGCCCGCGTCAGCCAGACACCTCTGAGCTCTCGGCCAGGGACATGTAATATCGGACAATTTGTCGTCGAGCATCTGAGTCAGAAATGGCCACTTCAGTCGCCCTTGCTGATAATACCGATTCAAAGTAACTCGTCGCTGGTCGCTATGCCGTCATCCGAGAGTTCTATGATTCGGAGCGAAACGGGACGAGCGCTTTTCCTCCTGTGATCAGATCGGCAAAAGGTCGCATAGACGTGGCCTCGGTTCACTTGCTGTCGGGCTTTGTTGCCAAAAAACCATGGGAGACAATTAGCAGGCCCAAAGCCGGTCGACGTGGGAGTCGCCTCCAGGACCTAAACCAACTCGAGCAGATAGTCGGGAGATCCCCACTTTTAATAATGAAGCATTGCGTACTTTCCACAGTAGTCCGCGGGTTCAGCGTCAGGTCGTAGAGCATAGGGCTGTCCTCGGCTCGCGGTACCGTGAGTTCCGCACATCGCATAATCGAGAGCAAGATGTATTGCTAGGCTTCACCCCAGGCACCGTGCAGTACTATATTTTCCCAAGATGCTGGAACGACCCTGAACCATAATCAGGCAAAACGTTCTCCGAGCAGATGAAGGGAAGGTTCGACTAAGTGAGGGCAATCTTAATTAGTTCGCGCCAGCCCTTGGTGAAGGTTATGCGCTGGTCGGGATATGGGCCGTAGCTTGCTGTATACGGGATTGAAACCCACCACCGCCACCTGTTTGCAGCAACTGAGATAAGGAAACTAACCTGTACCACCATAACGACTCAAATTGTCAACAAGTCCGAGCTCAGATGACCCCCAAATGGGCCACGTAGTAGATGCGCTAGACCAACACTCGGGGCCATATCGAATTTGCGCACAATAACGAATGCCAACGTTTCGGGGTGCGGTGACAGACCCGGCTGCCGGCAGACGTAACGCACACTAGGGCACCTGTCACCCCCTCGTTGTTGTTGGTCAGAAACCTGGTCATTTGCTGTGTGGACCAGGGGGTGTGGAGTGGAGCGCCAAGGTGCGGGCTCCACCGTGCCATCCACCTGCGCCCTTCCCCGACTCCAGTCTTCATGACTCTGTCTTGACACCGGGCCCAGGTGGGGGAGGAGGAGGAGGAGAGAGTGTGGTAGACGCCGTGCAAGTCTACTATCACTTTAAACTAGTTCACGCACAAGCCACCGTCCTTGTCCTCACCTTGATGTGTAGTACACGGTGGAGATCGTCGGACACGACGGTCGAACTGTCGACTGACCTGAGCACAGCCAAGATGCTCGGGAACTCTGACAGTTATTCACCCCAGCTGTCGTAGTTAACACGAAGAATTCCAATAAGACGGTAGTGGGAATTGAGCCTACCTTCAATGGAATCATAGTGCGGATTGTAGAGACAAAAGTTGTCCGACAACTCCCTCCTCACAAAGGCCTCCTCGATGAAGGCATCCACGGATTCCTTGTGCTTTCTGCGAAAACGTTGTGCCTCCAGAATGGCGCGCTGAACAGACAGATGACCTACAAAAGACAAATAACAACCTGATAGATTGGTCAGCCCAGGGAACTCAGCTGTACAAGGAGAGATCTGAGGACCTATTTCGCCACGTAGTGTGTTCAAATGAATAAAAATGAAAATCCGGCAAGTAGTGGACGGGGGACGGATACCCTGACGAGGTGTTCCTGCACGCCATCTCCCGACATTGGTTATGCTCTGGTGGAAGGTCTTGGAGGAAGTGATTGGGGATCGGTCCGCACCAAGTTATTGACGCAGCACAGTCTCCGTCTACGTGTTGACCCTCAAAAGTGGTTGCCCCCCACCAAAACGGGACCACACTGGCTCAGGATGTTCCTCATTATGACAGTGCAGTTCGCGCGTTGCCATAACTACCGTCGTGCATGCACTAATGGCACGCCTCAGACGTGGGCTCTTGTGCCGCGCCAGCCACTGCGCCCAATCTAATCATCCGTTGAGTTACCGCCCCACGGCAGTCGACCACTAAACGGTAGAGGGAATAGTGAGGCCGGCACATCAGCGCATTTCTCACAGTAGCAAACCTGAAGTTATCACGATGTTCACAAAATGTGGCTTGGAAGGTTGCCAACTAATGAAAAAGCTGGGTCCTTCCCGGGACCGAGGGTCCGGTCCCCCACGCATGTGCGATTCGAGCCGCCCTTACGGACGGCAGATACATGCTGCGCGGACCAGGTCGCGTGTGGCGCGCGTAGACGGGATGCCTAGCCTTGTTGGCCACCGCGCCCGTTCCACCCACCTGCGGTAGTATTGATATTGTGGTCCTGCCGGCAAGGATATGGTATGTAACCCCTCTGGGAGGCCTTAGTTAGCAGCAAACCTAACGCCAACCATGGTCATAACTTCAATGAGAAACCCCTAACCTGTGGGCATTTAAGGAAAACCGTAACCTTAAGCCAAGCCCCAACCCTAGCCTCCATTCAAAATTCAGACCATAGCCCAGGCCTGGAAACCCTATTCCCATGAATAACCCAATTTTGACCGTTGGCCAAACTCTAACCTGGGGCCCAAAACGGGCAACTTTAAGGTCGATAAC